ATGTAGCTGCAGCACAACATGCTGGATATGAGAAATCTTTGGTTTCTAGGTTGACTTTGAAGCCAGGAAAGGTAGCCCTAGTATATATTTCAGCATATATTATAACCACAATTGCATATTAATTTCGTGTTCCTTGTTTTTTGATTTGTTGAATTATTGTGCATTTTTTCTTCTTGGTGTTTTTCTTTTCATTTGATTCACTTTAATGTTTCATCGTGTTACAGATAGCAAGCCTTGCAAAATCCATCCGCACTCTTGCACATATGGAAGACCCAATCAACCAGATACTCAAAAGAACAGAGGTGGTTGCTTATAAACTCTCTAACAAAGGAAAAACTAACATATTTTACTAAAGATAAATCTTACATCTGCAAGAGTACCTTTTTCAGGTTGCTGAAGATTTAGTCCTTGAGAAAACATCGTGCCCGTTGGGTGTGCTATTGATCATTTTTGAGTCCAGGCCTGATGCCTTGGTCCAGGTAGTTTTTTTCGTCACAATTTACCATTTAATTTTTACCATGTGACTGGTTCATGCTTAGTACTTAATCATATTTATAAGCTATCTTTGAGCTTTGATATCGTTGTGTAGATTGCGTCGTTAGCAATTCGAAGTGGCAATGGTCTTCTCCTGAAAGGTGGAAAAGAAGCCATGAGATCAAACACAGTATTGCATAAGGTATTTTCTCATGCTGACATGACATGTTTTTAGATCGGTGTCCTGAAATAAATTTCTTATAGGTTATAACTGGTGCAATTCCTAGCAATGTGGGTGACAAACTTATTGGACTTGTTACAAGTAGAGATGAAATCGCTGATTTGCTAAAGGTGAGTAACATATTATGAAAATAATGATTTTACCAATATGCCAAATAAGCCGAAACTCATAACACACCCCACAGCTTGATGATGTCATTGATCTTGTCATTCCAAGAGGCAGCAATAAGCTGGTTTCACAAATCAAGGCATCAACTAAGATCCCTGTCCTTGGTCATGCTGGTAAATTTATCTTTTTGGTATAAACAATTCACTACAATATTTCAAATATGTTGACTTGTGTTTGATTTCTGTATTTTTTTCTTTCCTCTATAGATGGTATTTGCCATGTATACATCGACAAATCAGCTGACATGAATATGGCAAAACGAATAGTGATGGATGCTAAAATTGATTACCCAGCAGCCTGCAATGCTATGGTATGTCTATTTTGTTACAATTTATATTATTTAACACGTCTCTTTTCAGCTTATTTGTTAATTACTTTTGTTGGCGCATCTTTACTCAAGAGAACCAAGTAAAACCTTTACACACATTAGACAACTTAAGAACGTGCTCGACGTGAGCCACTCAATGCCTCTCCAATCATGCTAGTATTTTGTGTTTTTCTTTTATAAAGATAAAGAAAATCCTTCATAATCACACGCGGACATGTCAATCATCCTTGATTCACCATTAATCTTTTTCTCTTTCAAAAATTAATTTAATATATAACTACAATCCATAAAGATGTTGATTCCTTGTAAGCCACCTTTTCTTTTTTATAACAGATTTATTTTCATAGTAGAGATCTTTGTGACAAATATGATATTTTCAGTACAACTCATGATATTGTTACTCCTTTTTTTCATAAGTCAGACACCTTAACTTATTTCAGATTCAGATATAACATATTTTGCTTGTCTTCTGCAGGAGACATTGCTTGTTCATAAAGATCTTATAAAGGCTCCAGGTCTTGATGACCTACTGCTATCTCTCAAAACAGAAGGTTTAAGTTTCACTTTACTTGCTCATCCTTAAAATATACATTCATATAGCTGCTCCTTGTTTCTAGATACAACTAAGGGCTTGTTTGGCTGCACTTAAATCCACCTGAATACAGGATTGAGGTGGAATAGAGTGCAGCCAAACAAGGCCTAATGTGTATCCTGAATCAGGAGAGGATAATTGCCTCTTTTGCATTGTTCTACCTTGTGTTCCGATGTGGAATCAAGTGAGCTGTTGTAGTCAATCTTTTGTAATTCTCATAATATGCCTTTGTTAATATCGCACAAAATAAGTTGTTAGTACATGAAAAGAAGTATATTTATGGGAAGAATAAAACACATGTGAGTAATACGTTAACTCTTGTTTGAATTTTGTTAGCAGATGCTTAGAATTGTGTTAGCAGATGCCTACATCTCTAGTATGTTGGCAAATTCTTATTATTTTGGATAAATCTGGTTATGCAAGGCAGTTCCATTTGTCCATTTTCATCAAAGTTCTATACTTCTATGAACTTGTGGATTGCTTCTTTGAGCACTTTCATCAAAGTTCTATATTTCTGATTGCTTCCTTGTTCTTAAAAAAGAAGCTGATAATGTATTGTAGGAGTTACTCTTTATGGAGGGCCTGTTGCACATGAACTATTGTGCATTCCAAAAGCTGATTCATTCCATCATGAATATAGCTCTATGGCCTGCACAATTGAGTTCGTTGATGGTGTACAGTCAGCAATTGACCATATACATCGCTATGGAAGGTACTTACATTCTCTCCCTCCCTCCCTCTCATTATTGAAAATCTAGTAAAACTGAGATTCACTGCTTCTTTTTATTTCAGTGGACATACAGATTGCATTGTTACTACAGATGATAAAGTAGCAGAAACTTTTCTGCGCCAAGTTGATAGGTACGTTTAAACATCAGTGCCCCTTCTTTTTATTCATTTTTACTGTGTGTGCAATCAGTTAAATGTGCTTTATTCTTGCTATCACTGTGTCCAATGTTGTTTTGTTCTGAATTCTATGATGATTAAATATCTCACTGATTTTAGTGTACTTGTACAATTGCAACAGTGCTGCTGTATTTTATAATGCGAGCACACGATTCTCTGATGGGGCTCGTTTTGGATTGGGTGCTGAGGTACGTCCTATCTTTCATGGCATTTTTAGTGAAAATTTTGGAATAAGCAGGAATATCTTACATTGGCATAAAGTTACTTTTATCTTTTCTAATGATTATTTACCTTTTTTATCTTAATATTTCTACCTTTGGAATATCTTGAATAGGTTGGCATAAGCACAGGGCGCATACATGCTCGTGGGCCCGTGGGTGTTGAAGGTCTCTTAACAACACGCTGGTAAGTGGATTTCCATACAATCGATACCCTTCAGTTATTCTTCTGTTCCCGTAACCCTATTTCCTATTTCCTAGTAACTGCACAGCCATACTTCTTATCGGAAGTGTAAAACTGAGATGTGCAGTTGCTAGTTCTTGACATTGCAGGCATGTATCTAGTTTATTGACTGGTGAAAGGATATTAGACTCTGTTCTCACTGATAAATAATACCCTGCACTTCGCAACAGAGGTCTTTCTGCTAAGATGTAAATAAGTTTATTGACTGGTGAAAGGATATCTCACTGATAAATAATACCTTGCACTTCGCAACAGAGGTCTTTCTGCTAAGATGTAAATAATACCCTGCGGCCTGCAGTTCGCAACAGAGTCTTTCTGCTAAGATGTGCAGGGTATTTAACATAAAGCTCCCTATATTGCAAAACAGACCTAGTTTTGCAGTTTATATGATATCTGGGCTGCTTATATTTCCGCATTTGAATCCTTAATATATAAAATATTGATAGCTCGTGGGTCATTCTGTATGAGCTTGGGGGACCCTACCTCCCCAATAAAGCAGTGCTGGAAGTAATACAACACTGATCGACCAAAGCTATGTGAATTTATATGATATATGTTCGAAGGTTGCTGACCCCCACCTTCCCAATAAAGCAGTTCTTGAAGAATTTAAGAAGTGTAAATTTATATGCTCTTGAATAGTGGATTTTCTAAGTTGTACTTGTACAGTCTGGTAGAGATTTGTCTAATTCTCTGTGCTATTTTAAGACTGGTTACTACAATATTGTATATTTATGGATGTTCACTTTAACCTATAGGATCATGCGAGGGAGTGGGCAAGTGGTGAACGGTGACAAGGATATTGCATACACCCATAAGAACCTTCCTTTGCAATGAGGCAGGTAATGATTATTTTTCCATAAAGCTGTTGCAAGTCGTTTGATCTTATAAAGTACTTTTAAATGACAGTGGTAGCAAAAGCGTACTAAACCTAAGCAACTATGCAGGCCGTTTTTGTGCTTAATCAGGATTCGTGTCCATCCAGTGATGTTTGATAGTTTCATCAGATAGGAGCAAAGAATGGTGAATCTTTTCGATTGAGGACTGTGAATCCATGGACTTAAATGTTCAGTCATTGTGTAGACCATCATTCTGGTGGTTCATTCTGTACGAGCTTGGAGGCACACCACCTCCCCAATAAAGCAGTGCTGGGAGTAATAGAGCACTGATGTGAGTAATAGAGCACTGATGTACCGAGGGTGTGTTTAGGTTAAACAGGAGGTTAAACAAGAGGAACCGGTTATATTCTTATATTTATTTTGTTTTTTTTGGTGCGATCGAACCCATGTCACATTTTTTGTGCTGACTTGTTTCTTATAATTCTACTTAATCTCAAGATTTATGAGCTATCCTAGCCGGGTCGTGATTACACGACATCTTGATACCGGGTGTGTTCGATGCTGTAGCTGTGGCTTTTCCCCTATCTTCAGGTCACTGTATTGAGTATTGACGGCAGAAGCCTGCTGCGGTAGCCGTAGCTTTACTGCTGCCGGAGTTGTAGTTAGTAATATATAATCTATCACTTGTTCATACTGTAGGCCGCAATGTTACCCAAATTTGCATTGTTCTTGGCAATGATCTTTGTCTATTGTTCTCGGGAAACACGACTACACTAGTCTGATTCAGTTATATATCACCTTCATTGCTTTAGCATTATGGCTGTTATATAGACTTATACAATCGGCCTTGATCGCCTGAATTTTAGCACGCCACGTCCACAAGCATAACACACTGCTACACAATCAGCACCCGAAGTTCTTCAGGCAGGCTTTGGTCAAATTCTACACGACACAGCAAGAAGCTCAGTACACACGGCAGCAACGCATCACCGATCAATGATGCCATGGTGAGCTGGTAGGTCGACTACGCGACCGGCGGCCAGTGTGCGGGGTCCTTGGTCGTGTCGAGGGACGTCGGCGGTATCCACTGCCAGAAGGCAGCCGGGGCAGGTAGCTTGGGTACGGGACGAACTTTCCAGCCTGAGCAGCAAACGCCGCCGGGTGGAAAGATGGAGCGGCTGCTGCAGCAGGGTGCGGGACGAAGGGCCCTGGAGCCACTGCGGCGTGGCTCACGCCCTTGAGCATCTGCTCCAGCCTCTCCCTCTCGGCCTTCAGCCTCGTCTTCTCGTCTCGCAGCTCGGACTTCTCAGCCTGCAGCCACACATTGAACACCGGTAAATACACTTTGGACGAATGGTTATCCAGATGTTCTGTCAATTGATTGATTGACATACCTTGAGACTCTTGATGGAGTCCTGGAGTGATTCGTTTGATTGCTTAAGCTTCTGCGCCTCGGTACGCAGCTGGTTCAGGAGACGGGCAGCGTCGCTTAGAATAGCAACTTTGTCGGCCTTTGGTGGCTTGCCAGGTTCCAAGATGGCGCAGAGCTCGTTGAACCTGGAGTAGTACATCATTAGGGAATGATCAAAGATGATCATACTCGGTGTTACAAGCGCTGAACATGTCTAGGCTGGAGCAGTGGGAGATTGGTATTGGTCACTGAGGGTCTGAACTCTGAAACACAATTTTCAAAAAAAAAACTCTGAAACACACCTTTCATTGAGCCTGTCTCGCCGGAGCTTCTCACGGCAAGCCTTGGTGCCAGGTGGCGCACTGGACTCTGGCCGGGATCTGCTAAGAAGAAAGGGAAATAGGAAACCACATCAAATTATGCTCACGGTCACGGACTTCAGGGGCAACAGAATTGGACGTGAAGTATGTGATGGCTCCCAGCATCTGTGATGTGGACATTTTTCCGCTTTATTGTGCTAGTTCTGACTTTGATAGTACAGTCAAATGGGACCATGGACCATGAATTTGAACAAGTCGTAGTTGCCAAGGTGGAGTCTAATTATGAGAAAGCAGATTTGCTAGACGCGCCTGCAAACACTGCATCTTTTCACTGCAACCTGAGATCTGTGAGTTTTCTTCTAGTTCAAGAACGATGAGCATAATAGACAGGTTGCCAATTCCTGAATACCACTAGCTCTACATTTCTTGTCAACCAAATCAGAGGTCTGCTAATCAAGCACGTAATTTGTATGCCAGATCACTCAAACAGAAGCTAATACTAGCGACAAACAAGAAATAAGAAATATCCCAAACCATCCATGATTATGTCTCTGCAAGCTCCTAGACATTCGAAATCCACCAAGCTTAACTTTAGGGTGAGCGATTGTCTCTGCAAAGATCAACTGAAAGGGAAGGGAGAAAAGAAAGATTGCCTCTTCTTGGCGCCGGAGTTGTCCTGGACGCCGTCCTCCTTCCTGGGAGCATCGAACCCCAGTATCACGCTGCAAGTGCAGACCGAACCAACCAACCAACCAATCAGGCATCATCATCAACAGCTAGCCAACAACAACCCACCAAACAAGCATGAAAGAGGACCCAGCAAGAAGGAGAAGAGTCTGGCTCCCTCACCTGGAGACGGCCGGGTCGTCGACCATGTAGATGAACTCCGAGCCCTGGATCTCCTCCTCCACCAGCCCGTAGTCGAGCAGCCACCCGCCGGCCTGCCCCGCGCAGCTCATCGGCACCCACCCCAAGCAAGCGAGCGAGCGAAGCAGCACAGATCTTTCGCGGGTCGCGCGGGGCGAGCACGAGCCTCGAGCGTTGCTTGCCGTGTTGAGGGGAGCGGCGGATCGCGTGGCGTGCTTGTGCTTGGGAGCCTTCCTCAGGCCTCAGCTCAGCTTCCTTCCTCCCACCCTTTTGCCTTTTGGCGCCTCTAAATAACACGCAACATGGTCGCGCTCCCCCACCCCCCTGGCTTTTGGCGAATAGAATACGGTGCCGCGGGCGCTTGGGTGCGGGCGGCGCGTGTGTGTGCCCGCTCGTCGGCTGGGCCCGGCCGCCGACGAGCGGGCGGATGGTTCCGACGGAATCCATATTTTAAATCGAGCGAATTCGGTGGGGTTGGCGCGGCCGCGGGCGTTTCAGAATCCAGATGGTGGTGGTGCCTGGGGCGTGTGGGGCTCAGCCGGATCGCGTGGGCGTGATACTCGTGTCGTGCGGGTTCACATCATACGGCACCACGGGGACATTTCGGAGGCTCGGAGCAGCGGTCGAGCGAGTCGAGATTCGATGGCCTTTCGGCACGTCGCTCGCTTGACCATCCCGGATCTCGTCCCATTTCCGTCGATTAAAGGCTCTGCTTGCAGTGCCGCAGTAGTAACCACTAGGACAGCGACACGAAGGGCGCCCTTACGGGGACGTCGAAAGCCTCATGCTTTTTAGTCGTAAGGCCATCAGGACAATCAAATCTAAAACGTGTCTTCAATAAACAGACTATAATTGATGTTAGAAGAGATATAATTCAAATTTGAGTATCATATCTCCTGGAGATCCATTTACATAAAGGGTTCTTTTTTGAGTCTCGTTGTTGAATAAGAGCAAAATTGGGTATTAAACCATTTGCCTGTAGCACTACCCAAACGTAGAATGAGTCTTATTTTGAGTAACGGTTGTTGGAGACAGTCTAACTACTGTCCCTAAGGATTTTTTTTCCTAGTATGGTTTCTGCATTTATTTAAGGTTGAAATCTATATTATAAGATATTGTGATAGATAGAACATGTATAAGGCCTCTTTTATCTTATTCTCATCTCTATCCTAAGCGCTCAAAGTCATTATTTGATTCTTTCAACTTTTCAAGTTCGAATGAACCACTTGAGAAGTTGAATATCTTGGATTATTACTATAGGAGTTCATAAATCCAAATAAGAGTGTGGGAAAAAAATTAAAGAACCATGGTGTACTTCACTCAAAATTTATAAAACAGTATCGAATATTATGTATGTGTGGGTTGTATCATACTTATATTTAATATATTTATATGATACATGACTACTTTGAAAAAAAAATGAAGTTATATAATGCCTTAGCGCAAGAAGAGTCAAAGATACACGAGCACACGACCCAACTGACTATTATAGATTCGAGTTTTTTTTTTGGTCTCAGCGACGATGCTTACATTTGTGGTTAATTATTCTTTTAGCGGTAATACAACACAGCTAATTACGCTTTTGTACTGACTTTGTCAATCTCAAAATTTATCACCTATAGAAATAATTGTGTGTGTACACAAGCATCCTGTATGTAGTTAGGAAAATAAGGATGGACGTTTGTACATAAGTATCCTGATGGTTTCTGCGGCTAATAAGCCGGTTGAAACTAATTTATGGTGAGAGAAAAACACTGTACCGTGACTAATAAGCTCAAGCAAACGGAGCCATGATTCAGCAAAGGAACGTGTAGCAGAGGAATTTTCTAAACCATATTGAAAATGTAATCGGAAGCTTACAAGATTCCTTTGTAGTTTAGGTTAATCCATCTAAAATTTGGAATAACCATACATAATTCCTAGAGTATTGAGGTTCGTCTACTTAACAATGTTAATAGGTGATCTAGCAGAAAAAATCATTGGTGTCATAACCCCTCTATTGTGCCATGATATCATCTAATCATTTAAGCACCAATAAGCATACTACCAAAATGGTGGAGTTCACCTAATGTTTTAAAGTAGTAGTAAAACACTACCACTAGTCATAGCACTTATGAATCCTCACTAGAAGACATTTGGTAGAAAAAATTTATACTAAATGTTGAATGTTAAAACATTAGGAGAACACCACATCACTGGAAGAAATTTTAAATTTTGGTTGATATATTTCAAAGGAGAATTCCAGAAGCCATTGGTGTCACGGGACAACACAAAAATAGCCTGGATCCGCCCCTGCCGTGAGCTACAAAATCAAGTATTGAACATCCCAAACTAAACCCTTAGGTGGTTTTACTGATGTGTCACATTATATGAATGTTGGTGTGGCAATTACTTAAAGAATAGCATGGGCATCCTCAGCGTCGACCCTAGGATTTTTTGGCCCGGGAAGAAACTAAAATTTGGATACCCCTAAACACAAAGTATCAATCAATATATATTAAAAAAGTACTAGATAAAAGAAAAACATTTAAAACAATGTTTATCTCAAACACTTTTTACTACAATCTATAAAAACTTAAGAGCCAAATTAAAAATATATTACAAATTATCGGTAAAACTTAGAAAATCACAATAACATGTTTTCTAATCCATCAATTATGGCGAATCCACATTAATGTCTCTAGTCAAATTCTGAAGTTGTCTTATTACATATTCATCACCATGGGTTATATGTGTCGGTGCAGAAAGTGACAAACACGTAAATATTTATAGTTGTGCCGTACGTTGTGATCGGATGTGGCCTAACACTCAATGACACAGGGTTTATACTGGTTCAGGGAATATGCCCTACGTCCAGTTTAAGTCGGTTGGTAACTTTATTCCTGAGCCCAGGTGCTCGAAGTTTGCTGTGGGGTTACAAATGGAAAGGAGAAAGATGGGGAGTGCAAGAGGTCCGGTCGGACTCCGGTCTGAAGGGCCGATGGTGACGGGAGCTCCGCTATGTGCTAAGTGTTCGAGCGTGTGCTCGAGGTTTGAACCTAGTGGTTCTGTTGTAGTGTGTGAGTGAACTGAGTTATTGTGTACTGATTCCCCCTTTGAGAGAGAGCGCACCCCTTTTATAGATTAAGGGGATGGCCTTACAAGTGAGTGAGTGAGAGTGTACGTATGCTAAGTCTTGTTGCCCACGTCGTCGGGTACAAGATGATTGTAGGCGCCCATAACACTGTTAATGTCAGATGCATGTGGGAGGTCGCGTCGTCTTCTTCTGTTATGGCAGACGTCGGTGCCTGCCATACTGTTGATGCCCAGAGGCATGCAAGGGGTTTTACCGTGCTTGTCTGGTATGGGAGTTTGCGGGCGCCCACAACACTGTAGGGTAAATGTCGGTGCCCACAACACTGCTTGGGTTCTGACATGCCTGGAAGGTTGTAGGGCACTCTTCTGACATGTCCTGTTGGTACTGTCTTGCAGATGTGCAGGGTACGGTCCTCGGTATTACGGTTGACATGAGTGCCCTGCCTTACTTTCTCCATCTGTTTCTTGGTCCTTACCGAGCAGGCGTCCCCGGTCGGTTGGTCTCAGTCGGCTCTGATTGCGCCAGTCGGAGAGGAGCTGTAAGCAGGGGTTCGGTGCATCCTCGGTCGGAGACACGGGTCGGAGTCTGAAGTGGTGTTTGGCTAGGCCTTCCGGTCGGAGAGGCCATCCGAAGGCGGAAGCGGGCGCTGTTTTCCTCTTTGGCCAGGCCTTCCGATCGGAGAGGCGGGCTAGAGTCGGAAGCGAGCGCCGTTCCTCCTTTAGCGAGGCCTTCCGGTCAGAGATTGGATCGTCCTTCTGGCCTGTCATTTAGGTATTTGGGTCGGCCTAGGAGTTCGCGCGTCGTTCGCAACGTTGCCTGCTAGGCCGAGCCTTTGTTGGGAAGTCGATCTATGAGGGACCCTGGGTTTATGAACCCGATAGGAGCCCCTGAGCCCCCGAGTGATTCAGGTAGAATTGTCTGAGGGATTTTTGTCTTGACGGCGGGTGCGCGTGAGCGCATCCGTAGGTGTTGCCCCCGAGCCCCGGGCGATTCGAGTAGAATCGTCTGGGGTTTTTTTCGTGTTGCCAGCAGGGAAAGTTTTGTTTCGTTAGCGGTGTAGCGTGGCGCACCTGGTGTGTGTAACCCCCAAGCCCCGGGTGATTGAGGCGAGAATCGCCTAGGGGTTTTTTTGTCGGCGTGTGTCGTGCACCTTGGTCGAAAGCGAGTCGTTAACCAACCTGTAAATGCGTGATGGAGGCGATTTTAGGGATCGAGGCGAGATGGAGCTCGCGGATCCTGGCATCGGGTGCAGTCGAGGGATCGGGCGAGGCAGACTCACGGACCCGTCATGCGCAGCCGAGGCCATTTTTAGGGATTGGGCGGCGAGACGGAGCTCGCGGCTCGCGGACCCGTCATGTGCAGCTGAGGTAGTTTTAGGGATCGGGCAAGACGGAGCTTGCGGATCCTGGCGTCGGGCGCAGCCAAGGGATTGGGTGAGGCGGACTCGCTGACCCATCGTGCGTAGCCAAGGCTATTTTAGGGATCGGGTGAGATGGAGCTCATGAATCCTAGAGTCGTGCGCAGCCGAGGCAGTTTTAGGGATCGAGCGAGATGGAGCTCACGAATCCTGGCATCGGGCGTAGCCAAGGGATCGGCGCGAGGCGGACTCGCGGACCCGTCGTGCGTAGTCGAGGCAGTTTTAGGGATTGGGCAAGACGGAGCTCGCGGATCCTGGCGTCGGGCGCAGCCGAGGGATCGGGCGAGGCGGACTCATGGACCCGTCATGTGCAGCCGAGGCCATTTTAGGGATCGGGCGGTGAGACGGAGCTCGCGGCTTGTGGACCCGTCGTGCGCAGCCGAGGCAGTTTTAGGGATCGGCGTGAGACGGAGCTCGTGGATCCTGGCATCGGGTGCAGCCGAGGCAGTTTTAGGGATCGGGCGAGACGGAGCTCGCGCATCCTAGCTTTGGGTGCAGCTGAGGGATCGGTCGAGGCGGACTCGCGAACCCATTGTGTGCATCCGAGGCAGTTTTAGGGATCGGGCGAGACAGAGCTCGTGGATCCTAGCGTCGGGCGC